CAAAAATGGAGGCTCTAGACCCTTCCAGAGCTGAGATATCAAAATTCAAAATTTCGACCCGAAAAAAAAAACGACAGTGTTACCCCTTTCGTTTTTTTTCATTTTCGGGCGAAAAATTAAGTTTCTCCAATCTTCTCAAAACTCTGGATTATGATAGAGGGCTGTGAGACTTTGACCTGAGTGCAAAAATGGAGGCTCTAGACCCTTCCAGAGCTGAGATATCAAAATTCAAAATTTCGACCCGAAAAAAAAAACGACAGTGTTACCCCTTTCGTTTTTTTTCATTTTTGGGCAAAAATTAAGTTTCTCCAATCTTCTCAAAACTCTGGATTATGATAGAGGGCTGTGAGACTTTGACCTGAGTGCAAAAATGGAGGCTCTAGACCCTTCCAGAGCTGAGATATCAAAATTCAAAATTTCGACCCGAAAAAAAAACGACAGTGTTACCCCTTTCGTTTTTTTTTCATTTTTGGGCGAAAAATTAAGTTTCTCCAATCTTCTCAAAACTCTGGATTATGATAGAGGGCTGTGAGACTTTGACCTGAGTGCAAAAATGGAGGCTCTAGACCCTTCCAGAGCTGAGATATCAAAATTCAAAATTCTGACCCGAAAAAAAAACGACAGTGTTACCCCTTTTGTTTTTTTTCATTTTCGGGCGAAAAATTAAGTTTCTCCAATCTTCTCAAAACTCTGGATTATGATAGAGGGCTGTGAGACTTTGACCTGAGTGCAAAAATGGAGGCTCTAGACCCTTCCAGAGCTGAGATATCAAAATTCAAAATTTCGACCCGAAAAAAAAACGACAGTGTTACCCCTTTCGTTTTTTTTTTCATTTTTGGGCGAAAAATTAAGTTTCTCCAATCTTCTCAAAACTCTGGATTATGATAGAGGGCTGTGAGACTTTGACCTGAGTGCAAAAATGGAGGCTCTAGACCCTTCCAGAGCTGAGATATCAAAATTCAAAATTTCGACCCGAAAAAAAAACGACAGTGTTACCCCTTTTGTTTTTTTTCATTTTCGGGCGAAAAATTAAGTTTCTCCAATCTTCTCAAAACTCTGGATTATGATAGAGGGCTGTGAGACTTTGACCTGAGTGCAAAAATGGAGGCTCTAGACCCTTCCAGAGCTGAGATATCGAAATTCAAAATTTCGACCCGAAAAAAAAACGACAGTGTTACCCCTTTCGTTTTTTTCATTTTCGGGCGAAAAATTAAGTTTCTCCAATCTTCTCAAAACTCTGGATTATGATAGAGGGCTGTGAGACTTTGACCTGAGTGCAAAAATGGAGGCTCTAGACCCTTCCAGAGCTGAGATATCAAAATTCAAAATTTCGACCCGAAAAAAAAACGACAGTGTTACCCCTTTCGTTTTTTTTTGGTTTTTGGGCGAAAAATTAAGTTTCTCCAATCTTCTCAAAACTCTGGATTCTGATAGAGGGCCATGAGACTTTGACCTGAGTGCAAAAATGGAGGCTCTAGACCCTTCCAGAGCTGAGATATCAAAATTCAAAATTTCGACCCGAAAAAAAACGACAGTGTTACCCCTTTCGTTTTTTTCGTTTTTGGGCAAAAAATTAAGTTTCTCCAATCTTCTCAAAACTCTGGATTCTGATAGAGGGCCATGAGACTTTGACCTGAGTGCAAAAATGGAGGCTCTAGACCCTTCCAGAGCTGAGATATCAAAATTCAAAATTTCGACCCGAAAAAAAAAACGACAGTGTTACCCCTTTCGTTTTTTTTTTTCATTTTTGGGCGAAAAATTAAGTTTCTCCAATCTTCTCAAAACTCTGGATTATGATAGAGGGCTGTGAGACTTTGACCTGAGTGCAAAAATGGAGGCTCTAGACCCTTCCAGAGCTGAGATATCAAAATTCAAAATTTCGACCCGAAAAAAAAAACGACAGTGTTACCCCTTTCGTTTTTTTTTTTCGTTTTCGGGCGAAAAATTAAGTTTCTCCAATCTTCTCAAAACTCTGGATTATGATAGAGGGCTGTGAGACTTTGACCTGAGTGCAAAAATGGAGGCTCTAGACCCTTCCAGAGCTGAGATATCAAAATTCAAAATTTCGACCCGAAAAAAAAAACGACAGTGTTACCCCTTTCGTTTTTTTTCATTTTCGGGCGAAAAAATAAGTTTCTCCAATCTTTTCAAAACTCTGGATTCTGATAGAGGGCCATGAGACTTACGCCTGAGTGCAAAAATGAAGGCTCTAGAACCTTCCAGAGCTGAGATATCGAAACTCAAAAATTTGACCCGAAAAAAAAAACGACAGTGGTACCCCTTTCGTTTTTTTTTTTTTTCGGGCGAAAAATTAAGTTTCTCCAATCTTCTCAAAACTCTGGATTCTGATAGAGGGCCATGAGACTTACACCTGAGTGCAAAAATGGAGGCTCTAGACCCTTCCAGAGCTGAGATATCGAAACTCAAAAATTCGACCCGAAAAAAAAACGACAGTGGTACCCCTTTCTTTTTTTTTCCGGGCGAAAAATTAAGTTTCTCCAATCTTCTCAAATCCCTGGATTCTGATAGAGGGCCATGAGACTTAGAACTGAGTGCAAAAATTGTGTCTCTAGACCCTTCCAGAGCTGAGATATCGAAACTCAAAACTTCGACCCGAAAAAAACGACAGTGGTTCCCCTTTGGTTTTTTTTTTCGGGCGAAAAATTACGTTTCTCCAATCTTTTCAAATTTCTGGATTCTGATAGAGGGCCATGAGACTTACACCTGAGTGCAAAAATGGAGGCTCTAGACCCTTCCAGAGCTGAGATATCGAAACTCAAAAATTTGACCCGAAAAAAAAAAAACCACAGTGGTACCCCTTTCGTTTTTTTTGTTCGGGCGAAAAATTAAGTTTCTCCAATCTTCTCAAAACTCTGGATTCTGATAGAGGGCCATGAGACTTACACCTGAGTGCAAAAATGGAGGCTCTAGACCCATCCAGAGCTGAGATATCGAAACTCAAAAATTCGACCCGAAAAAAAAACGACAGTGGTACCCCTTTCGTTTTTTTTTTTTTTCCGGGCGAAAAATTAAGTTTCTCCATTCTTCTCAAAACTCTGGATTATGATAGAGGGCCATGAGACTTACACCTGAGTGCAAAAATGGAGGCTCTAGACCCTTCCAGAGCTCAGATATCGAAACTCAAAAATTCGACCCGAAAAAAAAAACGACAGTGGTACCCCTTTCGTTTTTTTTTCCGGGCGAAAAATTAAGGTTCTCCAATCTTCTCAAAACTCCTGATTCTGATAGAGGGCCATGAGACTTACACTTGAGAGCAAAAATTGAGGCTCTAGACCCTTCCAGAGCTGAGATATCGAAACTCAAAAATTCGACCCGAAAAAAAAAAAACGACAGTGGTACCCCTTTCGTTTTGTTTTTTTTCGGGCGAAAAATTAAGTTTCTCCAGTCTTCTCAAATCCCTGGATTCTGATAGAGGGCCATGAGACTTAGAACTGAGTGCAAAAATTGTGTCTCTAGACCCTTCCAGAGCTGAGATATCGAAACTCAAAAATTCGACCCGAAAAAAAAAAACGACAGTGGTACCCCTTTCGTTTTTTTTTTTTGGGCGAAAAATTAAGGTTCTCCAATCTTCTCAAAACTCCTGATTCTGATAGAGGGCCATGATACTTACACTTGAGAGCAAAAATTGAGGCTCTAGACCCTTCCAGAGCTGAGATATCGAAACTTAAAAATTCGACCCGAAAAAAAAAACGACAGTGGTACTCCTTTCGTTTTGTTTTTTTTTTCGGGCGAAAAATTAAGGTTCTCCAATCTTCTCAAAACTCTGGATTCTGATAGAGGGCCATGAGACTTAGACCTGAGTGCAAAATTTTAGGCTCTAGACCCTTCCAGAGCTGAGATATCGAAACTCAAAATTTTGACCCAAAAAAAAAAACAAAGGGGTACCACTGTCATTTTTTTTTTCGGGTCGAAATTTTGAGCTTCTCTGATCTTCTTGAAACTCTGGATTCTCATAGAGGGCCACGAGACTTAGACCTGAGTGCAAAAATGGAGGCTCTAGACCTTTCCAGAGCTTAGATATCGATACTCAAAATTTCGACCGAAAAAAAACCCCGAAAGAAATCACTGTCGTTTTTTTTTCGGGTCGAAATTTTGAGTTTCTCTGATCTTCTTGAAACTCTGGATTCTGATAAAGGGCCATGAGACTTAGACCTGAGTGCAAATATGGAGGCTCTAGACCCTTCCAGAGCTGAGATATCGAAACTCAAAATTTCGACTGAAAAAAAAAACGAAAGGGGTACCTGTCGGTTTTTTTTTTTTTGAGTCGAAATTTTGAGTTTCTCTGATCTTCTTGAAACTCTGGATTCTGATAGAGGGCCATGAGACTTAGACCTGAGTGCAAAAATTTAGGCTCTAGACCCTTCCAGAGCTGAGATATCGAAACTCAAAGATTCGACCTGAAAAAAAAAAACGAAAGGGGTACCAGTGTCGTTTTTTTCGGGTCGAATTTTTGAGTTTCACTGATCTTCTTGAAACACTGGATTCTGATAGAGGGCCACGAGACTCAGACCTGAGTGCAAAAATGGAGTCTCTAGACCCTTCCAGAGCTGAGATATCGAAACTCAAAATATTGACCCAAAAAAAAAAAAACCAAAGGGGTACCACTGTCATTTTTTTTTTCGGGTCGAAATTTTGAGCTTCTCTGATCTTCTTGAAACTCTGGATTCTCATAGAGGGCCACGAGACTTAGACCTGAGTGCAAAAATGGAGGCTCTAGACCCTTCCAGAGCTTAGATATCGATACTCAAAATTTCGATCCGAAAAAAAAACCGAAAGGGGTACGTACCACTGTCGTTTTTATTTTTTTTTTTGGGGTCGAAATTTTCAGTTTCTCTGATCTTCTTGAAACTCTGGATTCTGATAGAGGGCCATGAGACTTAGACCTGAGTGCAAAAATGGAGGCTCTAGACCCTTCCAGAGCTGAGATATTGAGATCCCACCTAGCATTTATGCTACTGTGCAAAGAAATACAAACAATGTCAAATCTGCAGTTTTTTTATTTTTATTGACTGATCTCTGAAACACATCATTAAAACATCAACCAGCACAATCGTTCAGCCTGTCCTCTGTGTGACAGCACAACCACTGTAAACAATGTCACATCTCACATTTATAATATTAAGTCTGGGGTCAGGGCACCTCAGCAACAGGAAGCCCTGTACAAAGTGTTCAATACATGAAAAGCTACTTAAACAAGAGGGTTGACGCTAAAATTATAATTTAATAGTTTAAAAAAGAAAAGCCACTGAACAACATTCAAACACTTTTTATTATAGGACAGTGTCCAAGTAATATTGCACGGCATCGAAACTCCAAGCCAGCTTTCAACAGTGTTCAACTACAGCCTAAACTAAACTTTAACTTTTGGTTTCTGTAATCCCCCATTCCAAACTAATTAGTGGATATATTTTGTCTCCCTTACATCAAACCACTGGTATGTATGCAGAATATGTGCCTAAATGTTCCATGTATTCTGGCATCATACTGACCAAGATGATAAGGCTGGGTGATTTCCTCTCAAAATGACAACTGAACCACATGCTAAATAGGTGGAATGTCAAACACAGTAAATATCACTGAAGGGCTAAAGGCAGGCACTCTGTAAACACCTGTTAGATCTACAAAATTTACAACCGTTTGAACAGAAGGCATCATTAGACTGTGAATATCACATCAAATCAAGGTCTAGAAATAAAAAAAGCTGGCATTATATACGTTATACTCCACGTTGGCTGGCTATGGAAGATTAGAAAAAAATAAAATCCCCAAAAACCGATAGATAAAATCCACTATATTATCACAGGCATGCTTGCAATACGAAGCAAGTAACAGGCATTCCAGCATCCTCAAGCGTTACGTGGGGGAAGAGGCCACAGATTTGGTAATAGTCAGAAAACCCACACTTCATTCTTCTCTTTATTGTACAGAATTTAGAACAAGCAACTTAGCAAAGGAAAAACGGGGAAAAATATCTGTACAAGAGTCCATCATCACCAGTAGACTAAGAGATAAGTCAGTAGTAAGTTCAGAGGATACACCACAAGTTGGTTCAAGATGTGATGCATTTTTTTTTTTCGCTCCATGAGTCAATGAGCAACGCCTTAATTGGTGTAGTAGTTAAATCCATTTTCCATGTATGGTTCATCGCTGCTGACTCCGTTGCTCACCTCTGTGGAAGAAGATGAAAGAAGGCAATAAAAAGAAAGTTTAACATCCATGACGTTTGCAAGACGATGCAAAATCGCAAACTGAGGATCTTTAAACAAACTTGAGACACATCGGCTCTGTTCCAAACCTTAGTGAGCTGCTTCAGGTGTGCTTCTTTTTCAATCTTATAAGAAATGTTTTTTGCCTTAAAATCTTGGCTAAATTCAGTAAGAGTTGATATTACACATTTTACAACAAGCACCCAAAAAAAAAAAAACTAAAGGGGTACCACTGTCGTTTTTTTGGGTTAAAATTTTGAATATCTCAGCTCTGGAAGGGTCTAGAGCCTCCATTTTTGCACTCAAGTCTAAGTCCCATGGCCCACTATCAGAAGATCAGAGAAACTCAAAATTTTTACCCCCAAAAAAACAACAGTGGTACCTCTTTCGTTTTTTTTTTTTTTTGGTGCGAAAAAATTAGTTTTTCCAATCTTCTTGAAACTATGGATTCTGATAGAGGGTCATGAGACTTAGACCTGAGTGGAAAAATGGAGGCTCTAGACCCTTCCAGAGCTGAGATATTGAGATCCCACGTAGCATTTATGCCATTATAAAAATAGTGGGTTTGTGGACACGTGGTTTTAAAAAAGAAACGCTCCTTAAATCACCAAATCAGCATATTAGAAGAGTTTCTAATGGTTCATGCGAGGTTCAACATAATAATAATGCTTTAGGGTAACCCTTTTTAGAAGGTATAGGTTATAGCCAATGTAGTTTGTAGACTTGGAACCGAGCTGCTGGTTGTAGATGTTCTTTCTGAATTCCACACATCTGAATGATCCTCCCCCTCATACTCACCATACGCAGGCCACAGTTACCCTGGCCAGTGGTGCTACAGATCATTCAGTCTGTGGGATGTCAGCGGAGAATGGATTGATGGATGGATGAACGGATGCAGGAAGAGACAGGATGGTGGCAGGCAGTAAGAAACAGGAGGGAGAGAGGAGGGTCTGGGAATGAGATGGAATGGGATGCGGAGACATACAGTAGTGGAAGACTCAAACCCAGGAGGTGGACAGCTACTGTGGCTGACCTTAAAAACACACAGAGGCATGCGAACACTGTTGGGACACATGCACACACAAAGCTAATCCAAAAATACAATGCATGCAACATGTGTACAGTTAACCGGACATTGACCCGGTAATGGCTGACATTTGAATTTTGCCCAAACAGAGCAAAAATGAGCAATTTCGTGCAGTTCCTGATGTTTTTATGGTCTAAATGTAAGATGAAATTCTGACAGCTTGTAGCATAAATCAATGAAATCTTTATAACAGTGTTCACCTTATTTTGCAACGCTTTTTAAACAGCTAAACTAACAAAGTGGTTGACACTGGAAGCCTCACACATTCAAATGACAAATGGCCACTCTTACGTTAAAAATAAGGTGGATAGTAGACTACTTGTCAGTTGGTTTTCTTATGAAGGGCAAAACATGTAATGCAATGACACACTGTGATGACAGAGATATACAAATGAACATTCCTCAAAAGCCTGATGTATTTGAAACTCACATTAGCACTTTTGGTGTGAAAGGGTGCAATACTCAAACACATTACTTTTAAAAGTAACTTTCCCCGACACTGTTTATATATATTTTTTTTTATTCTGCAATTCAATTTACTTTATCTATGGACCAGTTATGGACCACTTCAATGCAACTTCCTCAGGTTTAAGTTCAGCTCTTTGGGCTTTCTCCTGGTTTGTTCTTAGCGTTCCTGGCGACGTTATAGTTTTCTTGTTGTAACTTGGGCCTCAACTTGAGTTTCTAGCCATTTACCAAATGTTTTATTCACTATATATTATAATTAATAGTGAATCCCTTCAGTTTTGAGTCACAAGATGGTGCTAATGAGCTTGGTGGTATGAAAAGTGAGACATTGTGGAGTAATAAATGAGACATTAAATAAATGTAAATCTTGCACCAGTATTTTGTCATGTAAAATGGTGAAATATGTAGTTTAACAGTCATTATTACACATTTTGATTGCCCAATAAGCTCTCTCTCTCTCACACACACACAGTATAATAAATGCCAACAGGAGGTGTTTTGGTGGCTCTTACCAGAGAAGATGAGCTTCTCCTTCATGATGTTGACATCTCTGCTGGATCTCCTAACAGCTGCGCTCAGCATGATCTGCTCTGGGTTGTAGCTACGCATCCCACTCATTCTCCACCTGTGATCACGTGCACACACAAACACACACGTACACAAACCGCCCTTAGTGACCATATCCAAACAGAGAATACGTTGTTACAGCTGACCCTGTAAATAAAACATTCATTTTCGATTTATAATCTTATTGTTGACAATCAAATGAACTCACGAATCTAAAGGTGATTTTTTAACGTAATTGGTAGACACTAAGATATGGCACAAGGTATTTATAGTACCAATCAAAAGTTTGGGGTCAGTAAAAAAATGTATACTTTTATTCAGCAATGTTGCATTAAATCGATCAAAATTGACAGCCATTGTTAATGTTATATAGATTTTATATTTCATAGTCCTGAAAAAAATGTTTCATGGTTTCCACAAAAATATTTAGTGTTGTTTCAACACTGATAATAATAAGAATAATCATATTAGAATGATTTCTAAAGGATCATGTGACACTGAAGACCGGAGTAATTATGCTGAAAAATGCATCCTTGCCATCACAGGAATAAATTACATTATAATTATATTAAAATAGTAAACAGTTATTTTAAATACTTTTCTGTCACAGTAGAAAATGACAAAAGCAGTTAAACATAACTGTCAGTCAATTGTGATTGTTGCTTGTTCCGTACTCATCCAGTATAGGGGGATATGTGCAGTATCATAGCAAAATCCTAAAGTGTATTTCCTGTATAAACCTGAATTAACTATGGATTATGTTAAGTGATAAACAGTGATATTAAAGTGTAATCATGTGGGCTGAGGTTTAGTGAGAAGAGTTAGTAGTAGCATTGACAAAATCCAGGTCAAACAAAAGGTCCAGGCAGACAGATTGAAACAGGGTTATACAGAGAAAGAAGGGCAAGAAAGGGAGATATACACTGGCAGCATGGGCCAACAGTGCTGACCCAATTACCTGATTATGTGATAGCTGAGAGATGCCAGAATGCAGCAGAGAAGAGGAGCATGCACATCAGGCAGAGAGCAAGAAGAAGAGGAGGAGAGGTGGAAGAAAGGGGTAAAAGAAAGGGAGAGAATCAAGAGGTCAGTTCAGAAAAGCAGATGCAAATGTCACTTTGGCAAGCGCAGCAAACGTAGAGGATCCAGAGCCCCACAAAACATTGAGTGCTCATTTCACACATTAACCAGTGACGCTGATCTGGAACATTAAACATTATAATGAAAAAATAACTGGGGAGTACGCAAAACATCCAATGCAAACACATTTTCTTCTTATTTATTCTTCTTTCCTTCTCTCTAACCATGGTTCAGGATGCATTCATATTTTGTTTTGGTAAGGTTGAACGAAGATGCAACACACAATTTGATTGTGTGAAACAACCAAAGCAAAGTGAATCTATGAATGACTTAAAACAACCTTTAACATTCAAAGTCATATTTTCTTTTAGACTAAAACCGTATTGTTTGGGTGAATTTAAGGTCATACAGAACATACATTTAAAAATATCTGTTTAGTAGTAAAAACTAAAAATGTATATACAGGATACGCTAACTTTCTATAAACATATATATTTATATTTGCTAGTTTTGTATTGCTTGTAATCTAGATGAGATTGAAAGGATTTAAATTGAGATGAATTTTAATATTTTATTTAGGTATGTTTGTGTAAATGTTGGAAATTTGGAAAGAAGAACTAATATATTGTTGTTAGTGCTAACTAAAACTAAATATATAACTTGAAATAAATATGTTTTCATTAGTTAGAAAAAAAATGGAAAACAATATATATCTGATAAATAAAACCTAAATGAAAATGAGAAATGTTGCCTTGACAACTAACTGAAATAATTTTAAGTTGAAGTGAATAAAAAAAACTAAACTAAATAAAACAAAAATACACCTACACACACACACACTTTCTCACACACTCTTTCTTTGTATCTCTCTCTCTCACACACACACATACACACACACAGAGAGAAAGAGAGTATATATAAACTTGACTAAAAAGACAAATAAAAATGACAAAAACACAAAACATGATTATTAAAACTTAAAAAATTAAAATTAAAAACTTAAAATTAAAACAAAAAAATAAAAGCCTATTCAATATATTAATAAATAGCTTGACAGAATAAATAATGCTAAAATAATTATTTTTAATAGAACATCATTCCTATAATCTACAGCATACCATGTCAAACAAGTGGACACTTACTTCTGGAATATAAATATTCCCAGAACTACAGCAAAGGAAATGAGATCAGTGGAGATCCATATCAAGCAGTACTCATCCGGAGTCTGGGAAGACACAAATGCTAGTGAGGTACACACACACACACACACACACCACTAGATGGTGCAAGAGAAATTTATAGTGCAGGCAATGCTGTGCAATGCATATAAAACATGCTCCTGAATATTATATTGCATGAGATAATTTTATCAATATATATTATATACAAAATATGCCAATAACTCAATTAACATATTTAGCATATTTGTTTTATATTCTAGTAAAAAAAAGCACAACAAAGCAAAATGACAGTAATGCTTTTGTTTTGAATAAAGGCCAGAGCAGCAGATGTTGACCAATTATATTTCTAATCCATTGCCTAATGAATAATCTACAAGCAGATGAGGGTCTGTACCATGAGCCAGAGCGGATAGTGCACCTTCCTCAGCACCTGCGGGGCTTCAGAGGAGACGGACGACACCCCGCTGCACCACAGCAGAGAATACAGCCACGGGGCGTTCACTGAATACAGAGTCAGACTGATGTTGTTCTCATTATACAGCCTATTCAAATAAACAGAGATTTGGGATGAGCTTTTGGACTAAAAGGCTATTCACACCCACACCAACTGCAACACATTTTTGTCAATCTCTTATTTTCGCTATACTTGTTTGTTGTTGCTATGGCTTTTTCTGTTGAATTTAGATGTGAGCAACAAGCTTACAGGCTAAATTGTGCCCTGGAATAGCAACATTGGCTATAATATAGCTTGAGTTTGGCTCAACACAGCAGCTTTTGTTCCCAAACTGTCTCTTATCGTGTAATGTGGATGTTGTAAGTAAGTGAGACCAGGTGTTTGTAAGTAGAGCAGAGGCCTACCGGACGTCCTGCACAGAGGCCTGGTTGTAGCGCAGGAGGACCCTGCTGATGTCTTTATGATGGAGTGTGTCGAGGGGCAGCTTGTGTACTGAGGTCTGCTGTAAACCTGGAGCAACCTGCCTCACCATCTCCCTGTTACTGTCCACCGTCCACATCACCTACACACAAAACAGTTCAATGTGAGAAGGGAAATACAAACTATGGAATAATTATACTGTATTAACCCTGTGAAGCCTGACATACTGTATAAAGTAATAGTCAGACAAATCTAATGATACATTTTAAAAAAGTATCGAATAACATTTAACATGATATGTATCATGATATATTATAGGACAATATGGAACTCACACTCAAGGAGGGGGGAAAATTATTCAGAGGCCCAAAATGAGCAAAAAAAAATGCAATATGCAAGCTTGTAATGTAAATGAATGAGATCTTTATAACAGTTTAGTAGACTACATACAAAAAACGCATTTAAATATCAGTGGCCACTCTATATTTCCCAATAATAGTCTTTGTAAGATGATATTTAAATGCTTCGTTTTATGATCAAAGCTCTGTCGATTTTATTTGTATGGGGAAAAACATATAATGCATTGCAATACTATGAATACTAAGAGAGATGTATACGTACATAGATGCTCCTCAAAATCCAGATTTTTCAAAAATTCTGTATGGATAATCATCTTAAAATATCACTAACAATATAAACGTTATTATTACGTTTACTTTATAAATATTAATTAAGATTTCACAGCAAAAAACACAAGTACCACAACCTGAAGGTGAACATTTTTACATTTATCCTAAAAGGATTTTTGCTTGCTGAAAAAATGAATCAGATGACAGCAGGCATGTAGTGGATTGTGTAAAGCTGGTGTTTTAGCAAAGTTTTGATCATGTTGATCATGTTGATAATATAGGCCTTAGAAATTTGCTTTTCAAATATGAGAGTTATTAAGGTTACACCCATAATGTAATTAGTTTTACTCACAGCTAGGGGGCGCGACTATACAACCATATAAAACAAGGACAAACGCATCCTAAAGATATGTATTTCAACCCTAGGCCAAGGATGAATGAGATCTCCAGTAGCATATCAAAGGTGAGTATCACTCCCTCAAGACGAAGACTAACCTGCCGTTGTGGTATTCTTGACCTCAGAACAGTGTCCAGGGTGAGGTTGACCCAGTCATGGTGGTGGGGGTGATTGGGCGGTGGTCTACGCAGAGTGAATACAGCCGAGGTCTTGGATTTAGCCGCTAGTTTCAGCATCTGCTCCAAGCTGCACACCGTCTGGTTCCCCACCGATAAGCGTTCGGAAGCTGACATGTACTGTACAGTCCAGAAAGGATCATCCTGCGTTCAGTGAAATCAGTTAGTCAAGCTATATGCAGATATATGTACTTATACATTCTTAATGAAAAAGATAAAAATTTTAAAGTCAAAAGAAAAGCTATGAAGCTTATGACACTGTGCCTAATTGACCTATGGCTAAGCCACGCCCTCAAACGCGATGAGCCAATCACAGTACCCAGCTAACCCAATATACTCGGACATTCTCTGCTTCCAAGTCCATTGAAATGCATTGCAGTTAGTCAGTTTCATTCGTTTTTTCTTTGTATTTTAAGTTTAAAATGGTCTAACGGTGTGCATGGGGTACATGCAACTCCGACACTAGGTTCCCGAGAGGCTGGGCAACAGTGTGTATTTTTTTACCCTTTCCCAAGCCACATCTCTACCGAGATAAGTGTCTGCTCTGGATTAAGTTATGCGGTAGACCACAACACCAACTAAACGTGGATAAATTAAACAAGGATGTCTACATCTGTTCTAAGTTAAGTCAACAACGTATTTGAACGTTATCTTCAAAATCTCTAACGTAACGCTAGGCTAACATTAGGTTAGGTTAACATGTCACTTAGCTTCATTAACGTATCTGTAAATAACCGAGATAACAAATGTTAACAATGTTGTGCTGAATGATTCATGTAAATAACGTTACTGTAGCGCCAAATGGTGATGGCAACGATATGCGGGTTATCACGTTTACACTATGACCTGTACATTTTTGTCAGGACCTGAATGCTTTTCATCGACCTTCTCAACAATACAATTATTAATGTATCCCTCCAATGCATAGATAAGGCCCTTTAGGTGACTTCGAGATGATATTAAATCTTTCTGTCTCCAAAAATCACCAATTGCCTCCTGTGAAATGTCTCCTACTGTGACAGCTGCCATAGCGCCTGCCCCCGAATGTTGACTGTTTGTCCGAGTGAGTGGAGTGGGCGTGGCTTAGCCATAAGTCAATTACATTGAAGTGCACTTTTAATTAGAGTAAGAGTCAAAATTTAGATTTACATAACTTGTTACTGTACCTTAAAGATTTCTATATGCAAATGATATCTGTTCTAACAGGCTAATCACTTTGCATAAGTCGCTTTGGATAAAAGTGTCTGCTAAATGACAAAATGCATGAAATGCAGTATAGTTATTGTTCATTAGGTTGGGCTGATTGTGTGTTGATGTATAAATTTGGATGAACATATGTGCAGACATCATAACTGTGAAATGTTTTATCCAAATGACCTGTTTTGCAATATCATTTCCATTAATGGTCAAGCGAGAGGCTTAGTGCGAGTATTAAAGTACATCTACATATTAGACTGAACTCATATTTAAAAAAGAAAATCCTGTTTTTCAAGTCCCCCCCCATTAAAATTTAAAAACATTCAGTGTTGCCATAAACAAATGCAAATTACCAACATAACTACATCTCTATTTCAGCCTTATTGTAGACATTGTTTAGAGCCAAAATGGCCCATACCTTCAGAAACCACTGGCCAGCGTTCAGTGAGCTCAGATCAGTCCAGTTGAAGAGTGAAGCATCCTCATACTGTCTCTCTGGGAACACTCTCCTCACGTTTGTGGTTCTCCTCAATGTCCGGTCTCTCATGAGGAACGGCACACCATCTAGACTACAGCCAAAGCCAGAGTTACTCAGCAGTGTGTGATTAGACAGCACTTAGATGCAACTGAGAAAGTGCTTCCATTAGGGCTGAACCTGCAAGCTATTCAATGATAAGAGCGTGAATAAAAGAGGTGAGTGGACTTGCTGTATGCTATGAATAGCAGAAGAACATCTGTATGGACTTATTATAATAGTGGGATTGTTGTCCAATTGAAGTAGTATTATTTTTTTTAATATGGCATATTCCGATCAGATCCCCTTCACAAAGGGGAACCACTAAACTGAGGTGGTTGCACAATGGTGGTAGCTTGGGATTGAAACTTTGGGTTACCAGACAAGATAATTTAACCTCTAAGCCAAATCAACCCATTTTATTTTAATATGGTTTTATGCCAGTGGCACCACCTCTCAGTGAAATTAAACCAGATTTTCCCAACCAATCCCAAAGTAGTAATGGCCACAAGACTTCATTTTGTGTTTCTTACAATATATATTGCTGTTTTTAAACATTTCAAAATTGCAGCTGTATCATTGCAACACAATGACCAAGGTGGATGATCAGAAGAAAACAGCCTTGAATTTAAAACATTTAATATTTCAATGAGGAATTTAACATTTTTTACTAATAGATTATAAAAGGATTAGAGAAATTATTTGCTTTTAATTTCTTCAGTTAAAACTCTAGCTAAATATGAAAAAAGAACAAGCAAATAGCATAATTTTGCAGTGTTTTTAAAAATGAGGTCAAAATGATTTTTGTGGTAATCATCAACATTATGCCAGAGATTCTGTCCATTCTATTCACTTGTATTTGAGATATCTCATTCAAAAAGGCTTGAGTGATGACTCTCTTTAACCAAGATAAATTACAACACAACAGATGGATAATTTCTGTTCCATTATCTAAAGATGTGCAGGCAGAGTAGATTATAGCTTAAAAGGGCTTCTTTATAAAGTCTTCCTGTCTGTCCCAGTGTTCAATTACTATGCGCTCCCTGAGTTAAAGAGACGTCACGATTTATGCCAACCTCTCATTACAGCAGTCTCGCTCTGCCACACAAGAATTCACACTGTGAAACACACACTGTGGCCTTGTGCCTTTAGACCATAGACTGTAAAAAAAGATGGACGACATCCCTTCGCTCTCTTCCATTGGTCAGAAGTGAAGCCGCCAGTATCCCGATAGGGCGCTGAAATCTTGGAACTTGGGTCTGCACGGAATCGATTTCAGCACCAGACATGCAGTAGTGACCAGGAAGTAAAGCTACGAATTCAAGGCCCCATCCTCACTCTCGCAGAATCAATCGCAAGCACATAAAAAAAAATTAAATATAGAAATGTATATATTAAATTTAAAGCTCCAATCTCCTCAGTCATCCGAAGATCCCCAAAAAAAGTCTGTTGGTGCTTCAGTGACTACTTCGCTCGTGGTGACGTCACACCACTGTATCAAATAACTAACTAAAAACTTATTTTAAAAATAAACACTTGGAATTACATCAGCATGATAAAAACTACTGTTAATGACAGAAATAATCTTTGGAAATACGATATTTGAAATGTAGTTTAATTGTTTAGTTGTTCTCACGTACCTTTGAATAACACGGGGAGGCAGGGTTTATGACCTGGACTAGGACCGGCCACTGGGGGGCGATCGAGATGATTTGGCTTCACTTTTCAGGGCTTGTGCGGTACGCTTGCTTTAGTCACACACTGCTCTGTATAATCTATTGATTGAACTGTACCAGGAGAATAACAAGACAGAGTGAATGTATGAATACCTGATGGTCACATCCGCCTCCAACCCACTAACATTTCTCTGCAGAGCTCGGTTGAAGGACAGTAGAGTGTTCTCTGGAGCGAGCTGAACAAGAGAAAAGAAAACAAAATTAAAAAAAAAACCTTAAAAAGTGAAAATGATACGAAGATTAATGTACTGCATACTTGAACCCTATGGAGGCACCAATGGAAAGAGCATTGTTAAACCAAAATGTGAGACTCTTCTCACCCTGGAGCTAGGCAATAGCAAAACATCTTCCTTGTTGTTTGGATATAAATCAATAACTCATCTCAGAGGTTCACAGAGTGCTTGAGGGCGAGACAGATGCACAATCTACGGCTCCTCTGTGGTTAATTTCTTATGCAACGGTATGCACGCAGCAACTTGAGATCATCTGAAGACAGCGGGTCTACATGTGACAAATGAAGAATGATGTTGAGATGCTTCCTTTGAAGCACAAGAGAATGATGAGAGGAATATAGGATCAACAGGATCAGTATGAATGTGCCTTTGGAGAGGACTTATGGTTATGACCCTCATCTCAGAATTCTGGCTTTTAAACCCACAGTGGTCCGTTCCACACCTATGATCTCAAACCAGCACCCTCAATGTGTTTTCAACCTAAGTTTGGGTGTTTACATCTGTAGCTAGGAGTGGCAGAAGACAATTACTTGAAGTTCCTCCAAACAAAATTGTTCACTAATAAGGTAGAAGAAATCTTACATAACATTACAGCTAGAAAGACACATAAGAACACTGGGATGTTATTATTAATTATATTTCTCATTTATTTTTCTGTAGCAATATTCAGAAGCGGACCATTTTATCCCAATGCAGTTGATGGAGATTTGTGGGATGCACATTCAGGGCACAAAGCTCCCCTCCACCACATCCCAAAGATGCTCTATTGGGTTGAGATCTGGTGACTGTGGGGGCCATTTTAGTACAGTGAACTCATTGTCATGTTCAAGAAACCAATTTGTAATGATTCGAGCTTTGTGACATGGTGCATTAACCTGCTGGAAGTAGCCATCAGAGGATGAGGACATGGTTGCCATAAAGGGATGGACATGGTCAGAAACAATGCTCAGGTAGGCTGTGGAATTTAAACGATGCCCAATTGGCAATAAGGGGCCTAAAGTGTGCCAAGAAAACATCCCCCACACCATTACACCACCACCACCAGCCTGCACAGTGGTAACAAGGCATGATGGATCCATGTTCTCATTCTGTTTACGCCAAATTCTGACTCTACCATCTGAATGTCTCAACAGAAATCGAGACTCATCAGACCAGGCAACATTTTTCCAAGTCTTCAACTGTCCAATTTTGGTGAGCTCTTGCAAATTGTAGCCTCTTTTTCCTATTTGTAGTGGAGATAAGTGGTACCCGGTGGGGTATTCTGCTGTTGTAGCCCATCCGCCTCAAGGTTGTGCGTGTTGTGGCTTCACAAATGCTTTGCTGCATACCTCGGTTGTAACAAGTGGTTGTTTCAGTCAAAGTGCTCTTCTATCAGCTTGAATCAGTCGGCCCATTCTCCTCTGACCTCTAGCATCAACAAGGCATTTTCACCCACAGGACTGCAGCATACTGGATGTTTTTCCCTTTTCACACCATTCTTTGTAAACCCTAGAAATGGTTGTGCGTGAAAATCCCAGTAACTGAGCAGATTGTGAAATTTTCAGACCGGCCCGTCTGGCACCAACGACCATGCCACACTCAAAATTGCTTAAATCGCCTTTCTTTCCCATTCTGACATTCAGTTTGGAGTTCAGGAGATTGTCTTGACCAGGACAACACCCCTAAATGCATTGAAGCAACTGCCATGTGATTGGTTGATTAGATAACTGCATTAATGAGAAATTGAACATGTGTTTCTAATAATCCTTACACACACTTATATACATATATTGTATTTGTATAATTTGTGACATACACATCTGGACAAAGACACAAAAAGTCCAATTCCACCTGAATCAGTACAATAATGGATGTACTATATGCATACCTTCAAATAGTTCATAAAACTAATCCTGTCCTAATACCGCATTTGACTACAAATACAAAACAGCATTTGCAATCTTTCTGTGCTACTATCAAACAAAAATAGCATCCATACATATAAAAAGTGCATTTGCCATTACAGAGCACAATACACCACTGATACACACAAGCGTATTGAAAACCCTTCACAACCACCAAACCTTGAACAACGCCTACACAGAGATTCTCACTGGCTCTTACCAGAGTTATATTTAGCTCTGACAAGCCAGGGAAAAGACATATGAGAAAGATAAATGAAGAGAGAGAACGAAAAAGAGAGGGAAAGTGAGGGCTGGAAAAAGACAGGAAAGAGATAGAGGCCTAAAGAGAAAGAGAGAGAGAGACAGCAAGGAACAAACTGGCTCCAGCAATCCGTGATGTAGCCTGAGCTTGATGTAGCATCTAGGGAAGACAGGAAGTCCACAGCACAATGTTGACAATTTGGCAGCTTACCATTGGAGCTCCTTGATAGCCGATGATAGCGGGTGCTGCTTTGAGACTCCCACGCTCCATAATGCAGGGTGAGGTGATTGACAGCGGAATGAAGTACAGTGTAAGGAGAACACTCACGTAGATGAGGAGAACCATCATCTGGAACCCTATAGAACCAACAACATCAAAGTTATCTGAAATTTCAACTATGGTATAGCTTTAAAAAATGCCTATAAATTAGATGTTTTTAAACTATTTAAATTGTGATTACATGTGTTATGTCATCACCTCTGCAGTAGCTAAGAGGAAATGCCTAAATTATTTTTTAAGCTCAGAACAAGTAACTGTGAATGCTTAGCCAGCATATTTAAAGTGTGAGTGTGCTGTCTCATTGTACATAATGTGCTTTCTAATATTAGTGCTACTGTCATGAAATTTATGTTGAAGGTTGAGGAGCCATGACAGCAGCTGTCCTGAACAAGAAAACTGTAGAAGTTTAGGCTAAAATGTGCAAGAAATGCTAAAATGAGTTGTAAAGAAAGCCGACTTGTTGTAAGTTCAATGTTTAATATAAGCAAGTTTGTCACTGTTTTGTTATTATACTGTATTTTTCATTAAGAATAATCATGAATCCACCATTTAAGCAATTGCTGCCGCTGAATTGCCGTTAATTCGTAAAATGCATGCTGGAAAAAGCGAGGTGGAAATTAAATTAATAAATAACTATCACCAACCCCAAACTTTTGAACTCTAATATAGGCTCTGTGAACTGTACGTCCCTGAGGAAGGAAGATACAATTTGTTTTGATTAACTAAATGAGCTAAACCAGTTAAATATGTGCTTGGATGAATCAGATGAGCTTGGGTAAACAGAAATGAGGAATGAATAGCAGTTTATTCATTTTGCCTCTAATGCTGTAACATGAAACACTAGAGCATTGAACTAGTGGAGATAGTAATGTGTGTCTGTATAACGACAGGAATGTATCAATAGGGATGAAGGATTTCTCTGTGTATCGCTTTAATAATTAACATCTGGTTAATAATGATGTCTAACTGTGAGCCTGATCTTAGAGTGAGGAAGTGAATTTGGCTTACTTGTTCTCTCCCCGCGTGCCACCTGTCCCGCCACCAGCCAGGCCAAAGCGGTAGTTGCAGCTAAAGCGCCGATTTGAAGGAAGGGACCAGTAGCCTGAACAAAAAATTGAGACATTAATTTGTCCTTAATACACAAACATAGAAAGAATGAGAGAAATGTCTAGAAAATTGAGGAACCTTACTTAAAGGGATAGTGTCATAATTTACGCACCCTCATATCATTCTAAAACCTGTAAGAATTTTGTTTATCTTTGAAACATAAATAAAGATATTTTTAATGAAATCTTAGAGATTTCATCCCTCAATTGACAGCTACGCAACTACCACTTTGACGCTTATGAAAAAGTTCATAAAGAGATCGTAAAACTAGTCCATATGAATTAAATGGTTTGGTCCAAAAGGCTTTTATTCACATAAACATTCACCTCCTCACACATCAGTTGTTGTTGACTTGCGAGAACCAATAATGATGTTCATTCTTGTGTATTACGCATCATGTTTGAGCTTCAGCAAGAACCAATGAGAACCAATGAGGTTTGTTCTCACACCTGGTCAAGCAAGTATGGCTGAGCTTCTGTTTATGTTCCCTGATCAATGTTTATGTGAATAAAAGCATAATTTCAAACTGTTCATCAAATAAAGCGATCGTGTCTCATCTGAACGTTTTGGACTAAACTGCTCAATTCATATGGATTTGTTTACGTTGTGTGTAACTTTTTGAAGTGCCAAAGTGGTAGTTACGTTGCTGTCTATGGAGGGACAGAAAGCTCTCAGATTCATCAACAATATATTTGACTACGAACATTAAAGTTAAAGAAAATAATACATTTATAAATTCCTGTACAAATATTATATAACACCAGTGATGCATAAAACGTTTGATGATGTAAGAAAAAATGAAGTGGACGTCGAAGATCTCAAAAATGAAGTTTATTTACAGCATAGCAGTGGCAAGGCACACGAAGCACCTTGGGTTCACCGGCGTCAGAATGAACCCCGAACATTCAAATCTTCAACCTTTTATCCTGTTACTGTCCTCTTAATGTAAATGAAGTTGCTCTTGTCGTAACAGCTGTGTTCTGTCTTTGATCTTCTTTCAAATAAGAACGGCCAAATGTTTAAAGCAATACAGCCAAATGTTTAAGGTGATAACATCTCTTTGAAGCCCCCTAATCAAGATGGTTCTTGAATACCTGCTGTCCTTCCCACGCTATAGGTGATGAACATGACTGTGATACTTTTAAGATTGTAAGGAATTGATTCTATGATAAATAAGCTCTTTTAAGTGAAGGAACCTTTCAATATAATCTATATTGGAGTGGAAGTTGGATCGAAGCAGACTATAATTTCTTACAGTCCCCCCTATGATGCTCTTGGCCACAAGTAGCATCACATCCACTCCCTTTTCCTAAATAACACCTCCCTATCCTGGTGGGCAGGTGCCCAGTGGCGGTGCCACCCTGGCTTAGGTTGCCCCCCTATGGCCATCGGAGAAGTCTTACCCGTCATAGGAATGACACCTCATGCACACTGGTTACAGCTCTACTTCACTTGAGCAGACTTATCATAGTTTGTGTTAAGAATTATTATTTGTTTTTTTTTTTTGAAAAATATTAGGGTTTTTGAGAGGTAATCAAGAACCATCACATCCAATGGGAACGTCCAATATTGATCATAGAATTTCTTCAACCTGACGTTTCATCATGGAACACATACAACATAATATAACGCACTGATGATAAGAAGAATGATACATACACAAACAGCAGTTTTAAAGGTTACATCTCAAAGTAAACCAGTATAAGCAATAGCCAAGTCTCCATCATGCATTTGTTTTTGTCAACACTTCATTGTTTTTTTTTGTTTGGTTTGGTTTTTTTTTTCACAATGTGTATCAGTGATGTTAGCATTTTGTTTTAGACTTTATAGTGTGTGTGTGTGTGTGTGTGTGTGTGTGTGTGTGTGTGTGTGTGTGTGGTTTTTCATTTTCTCAGTGTGGACATCCTTTATCCACATGTGTGCATCCACTTGACAACAATATATCTAATGAAAATGATACTTGTCTCTTCATGTTTAGTCTTTGTGTCTTTGTGCATTTCTTAGAGTGGGTATGTCCTCTGCACACTTGTTTTCCATCTATGTGCAAAGACTGCTGTCGGTAGTCTCTGAAATGGTTTGATCTTTTCTCATTGTCCATTCTTTTTCACATGGACCATAAGATCTTCTAGAAGAAGCAGTCACTGGTGTTGTTCGAGTCTGTGCCTCTTCATCAGTTCCATCCAAACCATGATGGGTCTCATGGTTTCTAGATCTTTTAGGCCTGGATTTCTGGATCTTGCAGGTCTGGAAATCTCTGTATTCTGTTATTTTCTTGAGAGAATCCCCTGGCTCCACTGGTTCTACTTCCTTCTCGTCCTTCGAACGACCATGTCATCTTTCTCCAGGATGTTACACGTTTCAGGCAAACATCTCACTGCTTCTATCTGAAATAATGATCAAAAGAAAAGGTTGCCCCCCCTTTCCCCACAATCATCTTTTCACATTCAAACATCAAAGTCACAGAAGTTTAATCTCAAAACATCAAACATCGGTAACATTTAAAAAATATATAATGCCATTAAAACATTTGTTATAAATTACAACTACATAAAGAATCACCCCCCTTTTGATAGTAAACCCTTTTCTAAAACGTGTTACTATCATAAACCTAATTCTAATTTGTATCAGCATCTGCTTGAGACTGAGCTACTGTCCTGTTGCTCATGCGTTGATACGTTGGACAAGGTGTGAATCGCTTCTTTATTTCCTTTCAACATTGCCAACTGGGTTTCTAAATTGCCTATTTTCTTAAGCAAACCATGATAGCTCATCTTTCTTTTGTGTGACAAGTGACACCTTCTTGCCTTGTGCCCCATCAGTCCACAAGCAAAACAAACAACTTCCTGATCTTCCTTTCTTTTCTCCAAACAGTGCCTTGCAATGTGACCATCCTTTCCACATGCATGACAGACAAAGCTTTGCAGACGTCTCTCAATGTCTTGACAATGTCTAGCAATGTGACCAGCTTTTCCACATGCATAGCAAATAACAACACCTTCTGAATTTATTCTTGCAAATCTCTTTGTTCTATGATGGAAACCATTAGACCATGGAGTGGAACATTCTCTCCCGCCAACGGCAGCAACTGGATGTCTGGATTTGACCGTTTTCATTTGACTATTTGCATTAGCATTATTGTTGTAAAACTGTGTCATTTTACCAATGATGTCACTGTATTCAGAGAGTGGAGTCACAAGCATTGTCACAGCAGACCGGGTGAGTGGGTCACATTTGTTAATCAAGGCAGTCTTGAAACTGACATCATTCTTAGTAATATCAGGATTGCCACTGAAAGTTTTAAACATCTCCAATAATCGCTCTGAAAATGCGGCTGGATGCTCCCCTTTCCTCATGCGCATCTCAGATATTCTATCCCAATTAACTGACATCACACCTAAGACTTCAAGCAGTGCCTTTTTCCTCTCTGACTTATTAGCATTTCTGTCCTTTATTTTCTGAGTTAAGGCTCCAGACAAAGTGTCAGGCAAGCACAATCTTAACACGACGCACACATCACCATCTGTTAAATTGTACACTTCAGCATATTCCTCCAAGTTTTTCAGAAAATCTAATGGATCTTGTTTGGCAGGATCAAATTTACCAATATTCTTGATCATAGTTTCTAGTTCAGTTGGATTAAACCCTCGGACTATGGTAGAGGTCATTGGTTCTTCTCTTCCTTCACTAGCATGCATAGTCATAGTAGTATGTACCGGTGCCATGGGAAATCTGACTGTACAGTCTGAGTATTGGCTACTGAATGACTGAGAATCTTTTTCCCAACCCTCAGCTCTGTCTTCCTGCAAATCTGGCAAATCTGGCATTTCTGGAACTGGGTTACACAATCTGACACCTAACAATGTCTTACTATGGTTTTTCTCAGTTGTGTCACTCTTTATCATAAACTGACAAGCTGCCTTTGCTTCCTCCAAATTTTTGGACAATGTTTCCACAGATGATTTAAGCATACTATTGTTAGTTCTAAGAAGTGCGATCTCATTCTGCATCTTGACCTTTTCTTCTTTCCATATCCTTTCACTAGCCAGGTAATTTTTTGTAGAAATTACCCCAACACTGAGTCGCTCATTTTCAGCCTCTAACTCATCTACTCTCCTCCTAGTTACTTTGTATGAAGCAAAAAGTGCTTGAAGCGCATTAGCAATTTTCCCATTTTTGTTCTTAGGCATTTTGGGATCATTTTCAAACTTAGAGATCGCCCACTTGTACGGATTATCAACAATATTCTCTATTCCATCAAACATTCCCTGTGTACCGTGTTTAGCAACGTATTTCACAATCATTTCTTCCATTTTCAAAATGTGTTATCGGACTTTACAGTAGGCTATCTCGTGATCTAATGGTTATTCCCAACGTCTGATATAATCACAACACGTTATCCAGTTCCTTTAGGATATTCGTTAGTCTAATTATTCACAGCTCCAGTATACTTCGGACGCAATTGAACAAGATAACCACACCACCTGAGGCTTAACTTAACCATGGCCACAGTCTTTTTAAACCATACATTTCACTGGACAAAACAGTTAAAAAAAAAATAACACTGTCACAGTACGTCGGACAAAACCACACTACGTCGGGTTTTATGTTATTTTCATAAAACAGTTGACTTATCAACAGGACTCTGGGCTTAAACAATATTTATAAATTTTCAAACACTGCCACAGTATGTCGGGCAAAACCACACTGCTTCGGGTTTTTGTTTTAAATGTCACACACAGAGCCACGGAGTCAGACTCACTAATCTAGTATACACTACTAAACACAATTGTTGTGAAATAATTCTGTGACCACACTACTTCGGGTTTATTCACTTACTTTAGAATCTTAACAGAATTATAAGAGGCCAACACCAAGTTTCAGTTACTTTAGAAACTTTTACACTTTAGCACTTTGTTTCAATTACTTTAGAAACAACAATTCCAAAACAACTCTGCCGCCACACTGCTTCGGGCTGATTCAATTCCGTTAGAATCTTAAACAAAATCGTACAGAATAGGCTTAACAACTCCTCCTGCTAAGACTGAATAAACCAAATTCTCTTCTGTCCTTAAATTTTCCTTTTCTAGATTTTTTAAACAAGGGATTTCCTGACAAAACAGCATAAATGAAAGAAAACAACTTTTTTCTTACCTTTTCCCCGCTTTTTGTTGGAAACCTCCTGGAAGGGTGGCTCGCCAATGTAAGAAAAAATGAAGTGGACGTCGAAGATCTCAAAAATGAAGTTTATTTACAGCATAGCAGTGGCAAGGCACACGAAGCACCTTGGGTTCACCGGCGTCAGAATGAACCCCGAACATTCAAATCTTCAACCTTTTATCCTGTTACTGTCCTCTTAATGTAAATGAAGTTGCTCTTGTCGTAACAGCTGTGTTCTGTCTTTGATCTTCTTTCAAATAAGAACGGCCAAATGTTTAAAGCAATACAGCCAAATGTTTAAGGTGATAACATCTCTTTGAAGCCCCCTAATCAAGATGGTTCTTGAATACCTGCTGTCCTTCCCACGCTATAGGTGATGAACATGACTGTGATACTTTTAAGATTGTAAGGAATTGATTCTATGATAAATAAGCTCTTTTAAGTGAAGGAACCTTTCAATATAATCTATATTGGAGTGGAAGTTGGATCGAAGCAGACTATAATTTCTTACAATGATATAAATTCTCCTATGAGTTGAAAATGTGGAACTGAATTAGGAACATTTATGCATTTATTTTGGTATTGTAAAGCTGTTTATTCCTTTTGAGAGAAGATTCATAAAATAATTCAAGATAAGTGTAACTGTACTTTTGAGCTATGCTCTTTATCATATTTGTTGAATTGTGATGTGGAACATAAGTTTCCCTATACAAGAAAATGTGTTTACAATGTTTTCTTATTTTACTAAAAGAAAAATTATATTTCCTACATGGATTTCCCAGTCAGGACCAACCTTGGGTAAATGGCTGAAGCATATAATAGACTTGTTGTCCATTGAAGAAATTACAAGTAAACAGCATTCAAGATTGCAAGATTTCCAAGTACTGAATGATACGGGTCCTTATAGTACTGAATTATATAGAGACTATAAAATGACAAACTCACATTGAATAATGGATAGTGTAGACATTTTTGCTCTCTCCCTTTCTTTACTGTCCTATCGATATATTTTGCTGTTTTGTCCCTGTTATTTTGTGTGATGTTAGGCTGTGTTTGTGTAATATGTGCTAAATTGTGAATAATATATATATATATATGAAGAGTTCAGATGCAAAAGCCTCTAAATGCCATTTGAAATTTTCTTCTAAAATGACCATTTTTATCAAGCTTGTATATTTAAGTTCAGTAATTTCACTTAAATGACAATTAATAGGTAATCTTCATTGCCATTTAAGTGAAATTACTGAACATAAATATACAAGCTTGATAAAAATGATCATTTTAGAAGAAAATTTCAAATGGTCTTACAAGTTTGCAACAACATGAGGGTGAGTAAATAATGACATCTTTTACATTTTTGGGTGACCTAAGCCTTTAAAGTGTCTGTAAAAAAAATAATTTTACAGAGAGAGATCGCACACTCAAGACAAACTTCTAGCCTGAAGTATACACTAAAGGTTTGGGGTCTATAAGAGGTTTTTGAAAGAAATCTCGTACGCTCACCAAAGCTGCATTTATTTAATCAAAAGTACAGTTAAAAAACACTAATGCTGTGAAATATTATTGCAATTTAAAATAAATATTTTCTATGTTAATGTATTTTAAAATGTAATTTATTTCTGTGATGGCAAAGCTGATTTTCAGCATCATTACTCCAGTCTTCAGTGTCACATGATCCTTCAGAAATCATTCTAATATGCTGATTTTCTGCAAATTATCAATGTTGAAAATAGTTGAGCTGTTTAATATTTTTGTGAAAACAGTGATCATTTTTTTCAGGATTTTTTTTGTATAGATTGCTCAAATGAACAGCATTTATTTGAATGATACATCTTTTGTAACATTACATATGTAATGTCTGTCACTTTTGATCAATTTAATGAAAACCTTACTGAATAGAATTGTTAATTTTTTTTCAACAACAAAAAAATCGTACTGACCCCAAACTTTTGAAGGGTAGTCCAACTAAAACATATAAACGCCCCTGACATTTTTACCAGGCTTTTCAGGACTATCTAAAACCTAAAACCTGGAGATCAGATTTCTAATAGACCATACCTGAAGAGAAATCCAAACTACATCCCATTCCTCTCCCCACATCTGAGTGACAGATATCACGCCAATTATTGTAGCGAGCAAAGCGACTGTCACACCAATCTAGTGAGAAAAACCAGTTCATTCAGTTAAAAATCATATTACACAATTCTACTTAATCATTTTTTCCCAGCAAACCAAACTATACTTCCTTCTCAGTTCATAAACAAACAGGAAAAACAACTTAAACTCTCAATGTGGCCAGAAAGCCTCAGGGCATAACAATGTGTTTGTGACACTGTGTCAAGGTTAATTTTGTTTGTCTCACACAAACGGACTAGGTTTTCTATTTCTATTCTGGGGAAAAAAAACATTTCAATGCTTGACAGGTACCTTGTGGAGCCAGTGAAGGTTTAACTGCTGTCCGACAGCTACATGACACAGGGCTAAAATCTGGACCAAAAAAGGACAAATATTAAGTGTAACGAAAAAACGGGTGACAGCAACTGTTCAGATAAAGTGATAACTAGAGTAAGAAGCTAAAATAATCCTGAATGGTGACATGTACACACATGTGTGAGAGAGATTTTTAAAGCGTTAGTGGTTCTGGAGAGGTTTTGGTATGCAAACCCACAGTGCAGTATCAGTGCTTCAGAGCAGTTACAACTCACCATTAAAAATGCAATATAGGTGAAGCCAGCTGCAGTGGTGGCCAATATGGGAATGGTTCCATCGCTCCACTCCCCTGAATGGTTATATAAAAACCTGTGGGAGCACAATACCGGAAAACCGTTAGAAGTTGATTATTCAGCATTATAATTCGTGGGTGTCCTCCATAATGTTCAGACCTAACCAAATAACCAAGCCCCTGAAAAACAAATAGAAGCTAGTAATCTTTAGACAGGCTCCACATTTCTCTTGCTCGCTCTCATGAGAGCTCTGCGAGCTTATATAAGTATACTTTTACCAAAGAGGTGGATCAGAGAAGCATCTGTTTTACAAAAAGCATCATCTGCCTTGTGTGTATCTTTGAAACAAAGGGAGATAAAGCGTATGAGACCATGAGGCACAGTATCAGGGTCAGTATGAGCTTTCTTCAACATCTAGGCACATTCAACAGCTGTGATCAGAATTGAATACCGGCCTCTGTTAACTCAATGTGTAGTATGTCCTTTACATCCTGAAAAAGTGCATATTATTCCACAATATGCTTCAACTTGTGGTATGCTGTGTAGTAGACATATTTATGCTATTTTCAATTCAGAGATTCATATAAAGTTAACATCTTTAAAGCACATTGATTAACATCTTTATTGTTGTTATATACTGCTGTGGGGGGAAAAAACGGCAAATTTTATACCGCGTTCACGCCATGACGTAATTAGGGCTCAGCCCCAGTACGCTTTCGAATCGCTCTTGCGGTACTTTGATGTCATTCACCGATCAGTCAGTGCAGCTTCAAGTCGAACACACTTTAAATGTGCAGTGGTCAGGTGGTACAGCGGCCACGGGGTACAAGTGACAACATCAAAAAGCACATGAAGGCTTTTTATATGGTGTGAAAACGTCTTTAAAACCATGTTAAATTAATGTTTTCATAATTGATAATATAGAAATGTTTCTTGAATGATTTCTAAAGGAATGAAGACCGGAGTAACGGCTGCTAAAAATTCAGCTTTGTCATCACAGGAATCAATGACGTTTAAAAAATATAATACAATAGAAAACAGACGTTTTAAATTGTAATAATTTTCCCCAATATTACTGTTTTTACTGTATGTTTGATCAAATGTAGCCTGTGAGCGCATGATAGACTTCTTTCAAAAAAAAATCTTACAGCAGAAATAGCAATACTGTATGTTAGTATGTTTATCTGAGCCTAGAATCAGAATGGAAAAGGGTTGGTCATGTCATATATCAATCACCCTTCTGAACCGTTCTGAACTGACAGGCAAAACTGCAGCTTTGTGGGTGGAGCCATATGGAGGTTTTGCCTGCTAGATGCCTCTCCTGCCTGATCACAGATTCTACATGCTTGCACGGTCCCTCTGGGCATTAACTGGAGATCTCTGTGAATCAACCCCTTTTGTCCTCTACAGTAAAATCAAGGACTGGGAGGAGGAGGAGGCCACAAAGAAGGAGAGAAGTGACATTGAAAAGGAAAAGAAAACAGATGATGAAAGAATTACAAAGGAGATCACGAGGATCAGGAGAAACCGACCTTGAGGAAAAAAGCAAACAATGGCTTTTACTGTCACAATGTTTTTAATGTCCTCAACCTATTTTACAGAGTTTGTGGTTCCTGGGAAATGGAAGATTATGTAGTATTGTTTTGTCACGCCTTGATTATTATAATGCTGTGTTTTTCAATCTTCATTGGTATGCCTACAGCTTGATCAAAATTGCAACTGCCCCCTCACTTGTTTTCTATAACCAATACTGTCCAATAGTATTATACTGTATGTGGCTGTAGTTTATATCTGTGTCTTCTGTTGTCTTGTTATTTGTTTGTGCATATGTTTTTTGAGACGTTGAGACGTTTCGTTGCTATGATACAGAATATCCCCAGCACAGTTTACTTGTAACTGATTTAGCAGATAATTTGTTTCATCCTAAAAAAAATTTTGTCCATGTTGATTGTTGTCGTTGTACAGAAAGAATGTTGTGACAGTTGGTCGATGTGGTATTAGTCAAAATCGTAACGAATAGAACTAACCTTAAATAATGTATGGTTATCTGCATCTCTTATGTATAGGTACTTTTTAAACAAGAAAATCACATTCAGCATGACAAGCAAGCGGTCGCCGTGGTAATGAACAACCTGCTTGTTTTAAATTACTAAATATTCAAAGCGAGTTATATATTTCAAACCTCAAAGCCAATGAACCAGCTTATAAAAACTTCTTCAAGGGTTTCTCAGATTTCGCTTGAGACTGGTATAAGCATTCGCCTCGATTGTAGTCGTGTCTCATTCATTGCGTATTTTTATATTTTAAATATATCCCTCCATTGCATACTGTAACCCCTTGTGCCTCATTCTGGAGGATATTGCGGAGGTATTGCTACAAAAAAAGGTCACTGACTGACACGCATGGGTATTCCTCTTCCCGTCATGGCACTCTGTCGCGATGGTCGTGTTTGACCAAACGGCTTTTGCAAACGGTCAATTAGCTGGATTAAATATGTAACCAGTATAGCATACTACTCTAATTCATTGCATTATGCATACTGTTTTAAATACTAAAAGTATATACTGCACAGTATGTGCAATCAGCGATTCCATTCTAAATCCAAGCCAAAAAACAGTCCAGCCAATCTATTAAAGTTGCAATCTGTTCCATCAGAGCCTTTTCCGTGATCTCTGGATTACTTTAAGCGTAGGATTATAACAAATTTGTTTCGGGAAAGCTTGTGTGTTTCTTAGATGTATCTGTGCAGAGAAACAGGGATTGTGGGATCGTTGATGAAAGTGTATGATTTTAAAAGCCCTACTCACCAGTTAAACTCGCTGTAGTCATTGTGGGCCTCCCACCAGAAGTAAAACCACACCAGTAACAAGGAGAAAGTGCAGAAGAGAATGAAGGTCCATAAACACTCCCACTGGAACAGAAAAACACACACAAACAAAAAAAAATAGGAGTAAATAGGAGTTTTGAAATAAATCGGTTCCATAATTTGTGTCGATCAACAAGTATAATTAAATATGTATGAACAATACATTCACTGTGAGAAACTGCGCCAGAAGATAATCTCGAGATGGAGAACAAAATTTCAAAATACTGTCAACACGGTTTAAAAATGAATGAAATTTAATATGGAGTTCTCATTATGCCTCAGGACATGACTGCATACTCATATAATGAAACTCAATTAATCTGAATAGAGCTGCTTTAATAGTGAGAACTGCCTTCATCACAGATTCATTATTAAAACATTAGTTCTGCTCTCAGCAGGGTACAACAGAGGGCCTGTTGCCTGAATTCAGCTCACTTTCTACGACATCAAGAGAAGCATCAAAACGCAAACACTAAATTCGTTGCAAATCTGCAATAATTAAATATAAATTTCCCCATACTTTACTCGCATAATGTAACAAATTATGCTTTCTCATTCGATGGTCTTTGCATCAATGTTTGTTTAATAACTGGAAGTGCCTTGTTAAATATCCTATATGGATTTGTTGTATAGATAAATTATGGACTGAAATTAAACGATTGTTGATTTGGTACGCTCTTTTAATACCATGTTAGCCACTCTGGTATTTCTTCTCCAGTTTCCATCTTCCAGTGGATGGAATTCAAATTATTATCAAATTACATATACAAACAAGTAACCTATTCAACAACAACACCTTTGAGACGAGAGTGAAATTGTCAGAATATCACCAGCACTTCCCACATATTTTTTTTTTAAGTTTGCACACAGCCCACCTCTTAACAATAACCAATGTACTGTGTGAATAAAGTCCGAAAGAAAAAATATCACCATTTATTTGTGTCACAGGGTAGTGCGTTTTCTACAGCACACAAGAAAATTGGGTTTGTGGATTAATTAAATGGCTGTGGAATTACATAAACCATGAAAAACAATAAAAACATTCATTTATTTAGACATAATTAAAGCTTTAATGTTCGAATGGACTATAATTTTCAAACCATAGTAGTTTTCCTCCTCTTTAATCCACCCTGATGATTTAGTATCAGTTCTGTAAATGGCAGACAACTTCTAATTCCCCCACATTATGAACTGAAAGAAGACAACAAAAATACAAGTATAAACCATCCAGAATAATGAAAACCTGATTTTTTTAGAACAGCATGGTCAAAAAAAAAAAAAAAATAGAAACAAAATAAAAGTGAAAAATAAAATAAAATAAAACCTGGTTACATAAAAAATTCACTCTGTTCTCAGTGCATAAAGACTATGCAGAATGACAGCACTTACTTCAATAAAAAAATAGCGAGGACACAAAGTACTCATACTGTCAATCTTTTTCCTCATCACTACACAAGAATGAAAATATAGTCTGCCATGAGGGAGCAGAGGAATGAAACCACTTTTTAAATGTTCAGTTAGAAAGCATGAATTAATTCCTAAGCTCCACCATCCAAAAACACCTAAATATAGATGGATAAAGAGGATTATGTGTAATTCTAAGCAGAAAAATAATTCACACAAATAAATGCTGCTAAACCTGACATCTCACACCAACATCACAGGCTGTCTGAAATGCGCCGAATCAATAGCACACCATAAAACAGGTCAAATGTCAAATGTGGTTTCGTTTTTCCAAATGATTTTTCCAATGAGTTTAAAAAAATGACACCAGACTGAGTATACTGAGATGGGATGTGGGTGGATGCAGGTTGTTGCAGCAGTTTAACATTATAATTAACAGTATAAACAAATTATATTCATTTTTATTAGCTAAATATTACATTTACGTTATGTTTTTAAAGATTAACTTTGAGTGAACGTTCGATAACAGTAAAGGTAATTTACATATGAAAAGGGGGGAAATGAGCATACACAATTAAATATACAATACTGACCATGTTTTATAAGCATAATTTCTCCAGAACACACTGCATAATTTTAAGTATTATTGGTTGTGGGACAAGTTTTGTGCCAAAGTTTAATAGTGTTAAGGAGTTATTCACCATATGCAACACTCTGCATCCACCCACATCCCATGTCACTGTTGTTCTCAGTCTGGTGTCATTTTTAAACTCGATGAAAAAATCATTCGGAAAAACAAAACCACAATTTGACCTGTTTTATGGTGTGCTATTGATTTCCCGCAATCAGACATCCTGTGACTTTTTTACGCATAAGATTTATCATCAAGTCAGATCATAATCATAATTACAAAAGCACATCTCTTCTCAACACGCTGGCTAATTTGAAGCATCATTTGTTGTGGCCTTGTGGGACAAGTTTTACACCAAAGTTTAATAGTTTAAGTTATAGATTTATTCATGGCCTGAATGACTCATCCCTAATAACCTTGAACACACAATCTTAACATGAAGATAGCTCAGCATGTGAACTGATAAACTCGGCTGTGTTTTTGGCACTGCCATTGTTGTAGCAGATTGCCATGACATCATCAGGGTCAATAAGCAACAACCGAGACAACTCGACAGAAGGGATTCAGAGTAAACTGATTCCTCTAAACGAGTACATCATTAAGCCTCAAAGAGCTAGTTTTCAAAAAGCTTGTTTGATTCTGTCCCGCTGATCTGAGATGGCAGTGCCACTTCACTACTTCATGCCAAAGTAAACTCACTTTTTTTCCTGAGGGGAGTGTTGAATTTGTATTGTGCAAGTTTGAGCGTCTTATTGAATCACAGTTATCTCAGGCACAGAAACACTTCTATGAACAAATCGAAAGGGCAAAATCGAAGTAACGATTCCCTTCAAAACGATCCCAGCAAAGCTTTGCATGGCACATTAGTTTTAAAGCTGTAAAGTAAACGGCTTGGACTGTCGCTAATTGGTTAAGGTGGGGTGAAATGGCATGGTTACAGTGGTTGCCTTTAATTATCTTCATTAAGTTAAACAGGCTTATCTGATGCCGAAATATGGGCATAATAACAATATCTCAAACTAAGATCTGCCAAGCACTGACTGCAATTATGAAAATTAGCTTTCTTTAGCATTTCCTGAGCAAAGAACCAAGCTGAACTACTGCCCAAAAACATGACAGAGGCACAAACAGTAAAACAAACAAAAAAAAAAACAGCTTTTCCTTAGAGTGCCTTGACTTTGATGCCCCATAATCATATCATTTATTCATACAGTATGTATTTACAGCACACATCTGCCAACTGTAGACTGACTGCTAAATATCTAGTCCACATAGGCAAAGGGCAAAAAACACGGGGAGGCCAAGCTGCCCGATGTGAGAGAGTAAAAGAGAGGCGGCGGAGAAAGAAAAGTTAGTTGGAGCAGCATAATAACGTCCTTTCATAACAGTCCCTGTAAGTCTCATCGGTGAGTGAAGTGCAAAATCAAGTCCCTTTTTTTACAAACTGACCTATTCTGAAACAGATGTCACATAATCCATTAACAGAACCGTTCAATGAAAAGATGCGTTCTATTCATAGAGTGGTTATTTTACTGGTGTACAGAACACCTTTCCAATACGGGTCTAAAAAAACTAGACAACTGAAAAGAAATGTCACTGATTGGAGGTAAAATTTAGGTCAGATGGAATTAAAAATGTCAGTATAACAAACACTATGCAAAATGACTTTACCAAACCACACAGCACTACAAGTGCTAACATCTTCATTCATTGTTTAGGTGCATCATTTCTACTGAATAAACCAGCAGTAATAGTGGAAAAGGTGCTATGTAAATTCTCACTATAGTGTTGGCATTCACATAAGGGTATTTTTGGTCCTGAAAGTAGTTTCACTACAGCTCGACAGTGTCTGCCTGAAGGTTACAGTCAAAAATGCCAGATCCTGACTAATTTCCACTTGAAATTACATTCTGTTTATTTCTATTCAAAGAGTTTCCATTGATGTTGATTGTTATGTAAAAATCACTGTGGGTCAACAATGTGCAATTCATAAACGGCTGCCACAAAGAGTGCTTTCATAAGCTGCCTTTGCAAATGTACAAAATGAACACAACCGAATATGTACTTTAAACATGGAAAAACATCTTCATCAAAGAACTAAATGTCAGATGTAGCTGCATAAATCTCCATTTAAAGATCTTTGTAAATCCACACTTCAAATCCACAGTTAAAATTTTAATTCTGTCATCAATTAGTCACCAACCCATTGAAAAGCTCCCGAGGAACATAAACAGATGGAAAAAAAATGTTTTTGTCCATACAATGATAGTAAATGGAATCCAAACTATCCCTTTAACATCTTTGCCTCTTCTTCTCCAGTGTAAAATAACAACCGTAACCTAATAATCTCCATGTTGATGGACAGGAAAGATTAAATCTGACAAGAACATGCATTGTAGGTCACCTTGTAGGAAAAGCTGGCACTAGAATACACCCATAGATCAATTCATTAAAGCCATTTAAAAATGCTGCTCTCCTCTGTAAACATGAACCCTGAATGACAGCAACAGCACTGACAGAGGAGTGGAGAGAATCTGAAAGCAACATGTGAATCCAAGAACATTGCAGTGAATGGATTACTACGTGCAAAACAGTGTCTGGGGAATAGAAAGCAATCACAAACATAATCTGTATTCCTGAGGGATGGGCAAGAGTTTAAGATCCTCAGTTTGTTGCTGATGCGGTTTGAAGATGCATGTACAGGTCTGTGGGTTTCTTCCAATCCACTGGAAATGACAGTCTTCACCCTGAGGGGAAAACACATACTTTTTTTTGGCTGAGTTGGTGGCAGTTCTGTACCTGCCGTAGGCTGGAGCCACAGTCTGTCACTGTGCTTCATGCCTATGGTGACACCCTGCCCTCAGTACTGAGTCTGACTGGAAAAGGAGAATGTTTATACTACAGTGTTTTCACCAGACCAAATGGTATTTGAACTCCATTTAAAAAGGCTAGAAAGATGTTGAGAGGGATATTTAACCCCACCTCCCCTAAATATGGTTAGCATAAAGCC